ATATGGTGATTTACACTACCACGATGAAATGGTTTGCATAGATGAGTTTGAAAAAATGAAAAGTGCTGAAATCTGGAAGGGAAAGTGACAGTCACAACATTTCTGCTTCCAGATAAGTTTGTTCTTTACTCACACCATTAAAAACACAGTATTGCTACTGCACTGTATCTACAATATTTTTAAAAATGTATCTGAAATCAAATGAATAAGAAACAAGAGGCTGCTCTTCCTGCCCATGATCAGAGCTCATTTCTGGAGCCTTGCTCTGAAGCAGACTGCACTTTCCGCTTCACCGCATTTTGGAAAAGGCCCTAAGCATAAATATTGACTCTTTTATTCCTAAAACCTCAGCTCACTCCAGAATTTCCCAGTGCATTTGACCCTTATGGGCTGTGGAATTTTGCTCTGTTTCATTCTTCATATACATGTAAAAGCTCCGAAGTCCTCTGCACGCTTGGATGCAAGCGAAATGGGGAAAGGACCATTTCAGAGCTCTCCATTTTCACTTACCCAAGCTTGTGCTCTCTACAGTCAGAGCTTTGCTGACAAGCCACAAGGCCTCAGAAGATGAAAAAGGAACAATTCCCTCCCACTCCACATCTCAGTGTTTTATCCACTCCTGTTTCCCTCACATGCAAACCAGAGACTGCTCCTTCCTGCCATGCAAAGCTGAGCACGGGCAGTCCGCCCACGTCCCTGCGTCACCACCAGTGTTTTTTCCTTCGAGTTCTGAGTGACATTCCTACTGATTCACCGAACCCCCACAGCGTGAACTATTCTTAGAGACAATTTTCTTCCATCTACTACATCTAACCATCCCAAGTGAACATCACCTTTAATTTACCATCAGTAGAGCCTGCACGAGGGCAGCTTCTGTCAGGGACTAGGGGAGCTACTCCTGGCCATTGCAAGCTCTGAAGCTTCATCTGTCATATCATGTTACTCCACGGTGTTAAAGGCTCTGGACCAGAGTGGTGGTCACAATCTCCCACATTTCCTTTACATTGCTTTTCCAGGTGATCACGGACGTACTCGCTATCGTGCCTCTCCTCCCCGAGATCGCAGCAGGAGGAGCTGCCACAGAATGGCTCTCCCTTTGCGATTCAAGAGCTGGCTTTGACAACTCCATTGCAATCACAGAAAATGTGCTAAAATATTATAATGGCCTTATCACCACTTAATCCATTCTGTCCAACAGCAAAGTTGGATTTCATAAATCAAAAGCAAGCAGATAAACTATTTCAACTAAATACTTCCTTCCCTTTGATGAAAGCACTGGCAGACTCATAAACCTCCTCTGTTGACCTGACAATAAAGGAGATGCAGTTCTAGCTATGTTTTTCCAACTGAATTTGCATTGCCAGTGTATGCAGACCTCAGGAGCTTCTTAAGAGACTCTCCTAAATAATATGGGGAGTTGGTGATTAAACCATAATATTATAATTTTCTCCTTCCCTGTCTCAGATTTCATATCCTCAGCAACAGAGCCAGGATTACAGTCTGAGCTCAGGATGTGGTACCGGACAGCTGACAGCGTTTTTTCTTGGACAGATCAGATTTTTGTGTCAGGGGATTTTTCTGGGGCCTGCAGCCTTTTCTGTGGGAAAGCATGACTTGCTACGCATGCCCCTTACTTCCCGTAACAGTGTGCAGCACACACACCCGGCTTCCTGACAGTCACTTCTTACCACTCAGGTATCCCATTGTTTTAAGAAGGTTAAAACTGGACATTCGGAGCTTTGACCGCATGGGAGAAGGGGAAAAAAAATAGCCTCAAACTCAGATAAATTCTTGATGTCAAAAGAGTATTTTCTTGTGCTCCGTACACAAAAGAATGATGGCAGAAAACAAGGAGGGTCCTTCTTTCTGCAACAGCCCTTCTTTTTGTCCGTTTAAGCAGGACAGGCAGAAGCTCAGGCTGGTCAATGCTGCCTCACCCACCCCAGAGTGACATTGCACAGGTAGTGACCTCCGTGCAGCTAAAATCTCCTGGGCAGTATTTATTTGCTGCCCACGGAGAACAGAGCAGCAGGTAGGGTCCATCCTCAGACCCTGCTCCTGCAAGCTGCCACCATCCCATTTCCACTCGGGCCCACAGACACTGCAGTGCAGCAGCAGAAATCTGATTTTCCAGTGCCCGGTGCAAGATAAGGAGGACAAAAAATACCTGAAAGCTTCTGTATAATGGTGTTTCTGACAAATGCCATAGTTTTTCACTCATTATTTGAGCAACACCTGCAAAATTAATCAGAGAGTAAACACATTGCAACATGCATTTCATCTCAAGGACTATTTTATATATACTTCTTTAAGTATCTTTCTGGCTTGTAAATCACTCCTTATACCTAACTATACACCTATGTACGCCTCCACAGACATGTCTGGGCCTGTTTCTGCAGTCGCTACACAAATAAAATACCCATCCACTTGAATGGGAAGCTCTTTTCAGATAAATGTGGCAAGATTGGGCCTTTGGTGCATATGTACAAGTATCCTGCACACACATTTTAAAATCATTAAAAAAATATAGTCGCTATAGATTTATAACTGATCAAAATCTAAACACAGTAAAACTGCACTTATTACAGTATAGCCTACATGAATTTACATTACTCATTTATATGAAGCAAACAAAGGAAAGGAACTGTCTTTGACCCTGTAATTACAGATTAACTGTAATTACAGTTTTGCTTATCCTTTTGTCTGTCCAAAAAGTCCAAAAGGATTTTTGCAACTAAAAAGAGGGATTTGCACCATTTCTTTCCAACATATGGATGCTTCTCAAGTGCTTTCCCATCTTTTTTGAAGTGTCAGATTCCCTTCAGTTGCTTTTGTTCACTTCAACCACCATAGTAAAGAAAAATCCCTTACTGAAGGTAAACTTAGCAAAGCAGCAGCAAAGCAGTACTGAAGTCACGACTAGTCCCATACTCAGGCAAAATAAGGAGTAAGGGCTCTAGATACCAGCTTCAGCATCATTCCTGTTATCATAAAGCTTAATGCACAGCAAGATGTCCAACCCACAGGGTCACATTGCTCTCTAAATAGCATTTTCATTACAGCACTTCATTATCAAAGCCCTTTGCACATAAATTCTTAAAAAAACAGCAAAGAAAAAGATCACTTTTGCATATTAAATCAAGGAAGCCATTTCACCTACAAGTTAATTCTTAGTGTGCCGCATATTTCACAGCTAGCTGATATGAGGTGATGCTCACTAACACACAGTATAACTCTAAGACCAAAAGCACACCACCACAAAATATATAAAGCTTAAGCACAGGTCCTTCACCTACCCCTGGCTGGTATTTTCCAAGTTACCTCTGACACCTTTATCAAGGCTATGGGTTGCTTTTAAAGTAATTCGACCTCTGGAGTCTATTGTAAAGTTAAGGAAATACACTCTCACATACCATCCAGGTCACTGCTGGTCAGTAGACACTTTTGAGATGGTGACCATCATGCTTCACTTCCTTTTTGATCATTTTATCTGTAGCGTGAGCAACTTTCATGGCTCTCAGCACAGCACAGAGGCTTTTAAAAGAAGCTTTGTGCATTCATGCATTACAAAATCAAAATCCAAGTCCAGATTTGGATTTAAACCCTCTACCTCCTTCTCCCCCCCGCAAAAAAAAAAAAAAAAAATCCCTCATGTAGAGCTAGCACTTTAAACTCCAAATTCTTGATCAAAGATCTTGTAATCTAAGTAAGACAAGACAAGGCACTGGACAACAGCCCAAGTGCTTCAGACTAAGAACTCGTATGAGGAAACTCTGTTCATTTAACTATGCCAGCACAGCTGAAACAGCACACCTCACCCTCCTGTGTACGCAGTCATACCAGTATGAAAGGGCATATACCAGCAGCCTACTGCACTGTTTAAACTCCAGCAATATGTGGCATCTTTTCTGCATCAGGAATTTGCCAATTTAACTGTATCAGGTAAAAAATTAAGCTTGGCATAACTGACAGTTACTCTGGTAACATTTTTAAAAATGCACCAGCCCTTTTACTATCCTAATAACATTCTTAACATACAAAAATGCCATGTGAAGACATCTGACATCTTGAGATGCATAATTTTAAAATAAGCATTTTAATCCAAGCCACAAAGTATCTTCACTGTATTTTAACTTCATTTCCTGCCAGTATTTATCATAGATACCTGAAAGTATTTAACTCAACCTGCACAGTGAAACAACATTCAGATATTCTTACAAAGTCTTTAATAAAAATCAAAGAGGAAATGCCTTTTTCTATCTTATGGCATGGTGTATCTGAACTAAAAAAAATCAACTCAGAAAATATAACTATGTAATCTCCTTGCTATTCAGCCTGAGAAAAGCTTGCAGAAGTGTGAAGAAGCATGTTTCTTCAATAAGGACTCCAATCTGAAGCTGAGATGGTCACTGTAGGAGGAAGTACACATATTGCTCATGCGTTAACTAGAAGGAAAGCATCACAAACAACGAGAAAGAAAGCATGATCAGCAGAGGAGACCAGAAATATAAGACACAAGAAGGAAGAAGAAAGAAACTCTGAAACAATTGCACACCATGATCACACAGTTACCTATTGCTGTGAATGGGAGTTTAACATTCTCTTCTATTCTGGCTGAAAAATTTCATAAAGTGATCTTGTTTATTCCTATCATCACATCTATCTGCTATTTTTCACCAATACTTTGTGACTTTACAGAACAAAGACCTCAAGTTACATACTAACCCTTAAAACTATAGTGCTAAAGAGTATTTTCAAAAGCCCAAATGCCAGAGAACAGAGCTTTCAATAAAATCTGGCAATGCCCCAAGGTACTCGATTCAGAAACTTACGTGAAGTCACACAGTCTATGCTAAAATTCTCCACCACCGATTCTCCTCAAAAGTTTGGTGCTTTTCTTCATAGTGAAATGATAACTGTATTAATGTGCTCTGTTTATCCCTAAACCTATAGGAAATGCGCTTATATCTGGCTTGCTTTCCAGGGCAGTGTATACCCTGGGACAGAGGAGTTTTGCTTCTCCCACACTGTTACAGACACAACTCTGCTAGCAGGGAAGATGCTGGTATCCTAGATCTTATGGGATGCAATGCCTTGAGGAAATTTATATCAAACAATTATTGCATAATCTCAGGGTGTAATAAAACCTCCTACACCATACACAGGCATCGAATTCCTGTTACACTTCTGTGCCAGAGGAAGAAATATCCTTGTCAACAGCAGCTACAGGTCCCTGTATGAACCCGCAAGATCCCCTTGCTGTGCATGTGGAGGAAATTGAAGATTTCTGAGGGCATAGCATGAAAACCAGGGCGAGGTTTCACATTGTCATAATAGTGGTGAGTTATAAAAATCCCTGAGGGGTTCATGGGGAAGGCCCAAAAGCCAAAAAGGTGAACCTCTTCACAGAGCTCCAGGGCAGCAGTCACCAGGATCAGTCCAGTGCTAATCCGCTTCGCCCGCACCCCTTGGCTGAGCCAGTAGCGTGAGACGTTGATAAGATACTGAGGATGAAAGTAATAAACAGCTTGCTGAGATTCAAAATCATCCAGGACATACTTGACCCGGATTGAGACATCCGTGTTGCGAGTGTTGTAGAAAGCTGGCAGCAGCACGGAAGCATTCTCGTAGACCTGAAGCACGTCGTAGAAGGGTTTTCTCCATTTTTCCAGCTTATGAAATCTAAAGGGAAAAGGATGCGAGTGATGTCAGACCAGCGTGGACTCAGTCTGGACCCAGCAGACAAGAAACCTCTAATGGGCTTTTACTGAAACATTTCTGATACAGAGATAATTTAAATGATATTTCTGTTAACAAGGGGAGTATGTTTAGATTTGTAGCTACAGCATCAGTGTGAAATGCAGGGCAAAAATACAGAGGGTAAAAAAAATACATATTCTCCCCCGTCTTGGCAATACACTCACTAAACAGTGGACAAACTTTGTAGACATTTCTGATCGTGTCTCGCTTTGCATTTTATTATAAGAAGTATGTCGTTTTTCCAAGTTATCGTCAGCTGTGTAGTGCACTATGCAATGTAGAACTGTACAAAAAAGTGGTAAATCACAAAGCAGAGCAAAAATATTTCTAAAATGTCTAACTGTAAAGTTTAAAAGAAATTCACAATGCAAGCAATGATTTTATGTTGCTTGAGAAAAGAAACACATTCCCTCAGCAAGAAAGTAAAGCACGGCCCCAGGTACTCCAAACCTGTCAGCAAGGTGGCACTGAGGTATTAACAAATTTAAAATTAAAATCACTCAGTCAATCACGACTACAAAATTTAACTGGCATTTTTTAATAAACATATGACAATGTTTGCTACTTTATTTAATTATTTAGGATGGGAACCAGGTGCTTCCACCCTAATGTGTCCAATACATTTGCCTGGGGCTTGCCAGCACAGTCCAGGACTTCCAGGGGAAGAATGGCTCTGCTCATCAGATTCCCACTTTCTGTTATCAATGTGCAGGTGTAAGTGCTTAACACATTTCTGTAAGTTGTTACAGATTCCATATTCTTAATAACTTCAATTCAGGATTAAATGTATGATTCATAGTGTCAGTTTAAAGTAATATAGAGAAGAAAATTCTCTGTCATGGAATGTAATGAAAAGTAGATTTGGAAAAGCTATAGGAGACAAAAATACAAAAAAACAGAAATGACCTCTCAGTAATTATACTGGGATTGACAGTCACAACATCCGTCTTTACCCCAACGTCCATGAAATATTTCTCGGATATAGGAGGCAAATTGCATCTATAAAAGAAAGAAATTAGTAAGAAAGTTAAAAAAATTCCTTGCACCTTTTCAGGACTAGAAAGTAGAATTTATTTAATCATTTCTTCCAAGCAACACATCTAGAAACAGATTGAGAATTTAAAATTATATCAAAACATGTTGATGGCCAAACTGTGCATTAAAGTAACAAGTTCCTAGGGGCTGTATGAAGACCTGTCTTCTTCCTCACGTCTGTGAGAGATGACCCTTTTTTGCAGATGTAGCCAATGCTCACTCATTTCACCTCCTTAATAGCAGTTCTGCTATTTACTTTGGCAGTTTATGATGAGAAATGGGATGAAGCCCCAAGGACAATCAGCCTATAAAATCAAAGGCTTCCTCAGCAATAGCTGAGCTGTATTCAATAATTAATAGATAAACTATATCTATAATATTGCCTTTAACATGCTTTGGTTTATACTCAAAAGAATTTAGGGGAAATGGTCCTTAAGAGACAAATGAATCCAGTCCTAATTAATCCAAGACTATCTGCTTCCCTTTATAAGTATCTCCCAGCGCAGTGTAAGAGCAGCAATTCTGACTCTACAGATTCACCAGAGGATGTCAAAACTATTGGAAGCAAACTTGTGAAGATTTGCAAATCTTGACTTTGCCCAGCCTCCATTCACCTTGGCCTTGACCTGGATTCATCATCTCACAAAATTTAGAGCATCCCTCAAGAGATGCAGAAGTTACTGAAACACACACACATACACACAAGCTTCACTTCCATAGGAAACCCAGCTAAAATGAAAAAAAAAAAAGGTTGGGCATGTGTTTTCAGAGGTAACATAAGTGGCCTTGGAAATAGTTTCACACTCAGTTTAAGCTCACATTAGATACTTGCTGACATTTTGAAAAGGTTTTGAAGTCATCTACAAGCCTCAGTAAAAGCCATCATTGTTAAGATGCCCACATCCCAAAAATACTGCTGTGCCTAATTTCTAAACATCTCCATAGAATCATAGAATGACCTGGGTTGGAAGGGAAGATCACCTAGTTTCAACCCCCCTGCCATCAGCATGGACATCTTTCACCTGACCAGGTTGCCCAAAGCCCTGTCCAAACTGAGCTAGAATGTTTCCAGGGAGGGGGCATCCACAGCTTCTCTGGGCAATCTGTGCCAGTGCCTCACCACCCACACACTGAAAAATTTCTTCCGAATATCTAATCTAAATATCCCCTCCTTCAGCTTAATATTCAGCTTCCATATTTCTGAAGATCAGGGCTGAATAGGTGAAAACTGTGAAGGTATTTAAGGTAAGAGATGCTTACTGTTTTCACAATACTACAGTTCAGCTGCCAGCCTAATTTCTCAGTCACAGGGAGAGGGCGAGTGGGGGAGCAGAAGAATGCACAAATATCCTTCAAAGTCCTTCTCAGACTCAGGAGGTTCACATCTACCTTCCAGAGAGTCCCTCTTTATCAGGTCAGAGAAATTTTTTTCAGCCACCTATCCTTCTCATAGGAAACGCTATTTCCAGCACTTAGCTAGGTTATGAAATGTCCTTCTGATCTCCTCTAGTATCCTCAGTTCCACCTAGCACTCGGCACTGTGCTCATTAGATTATATTTGAAACAGGTTTTCCAATACTCAGCTTCCATATTTTTGAAGAGTAAACTCCCACCAGGATTAAGAAAGACTGTATTTGTTGAAAGTAATAATTCCTTATAAAAATGATACAATCTGCAAAAATCGTACTTTTGCCACAGGACTTCAAAACTTCATCCCTACAAAGAGAGTAGTCCCATCTCTAAATGCACCCAAGGTTTCATCAGAGATCTGTACTCTGGCCAGTAGGTGGAGGTAGACAATAACAACTAGTAAATGCAATTAATGTCTGTGCATTTTATATATTCTATTGTACTATAATTAATTCCTATCAGAATTTATGTCATAGAAAAATCTTGGTTGCATCCTGCTGGCCACAAGCTTCCTGACAATAAAATATTTCCCCAGGTGTCCTGAAGGTATCACTGAATGTTAGCAGTGCTTCGTAGGCAGTTTTTGAAATATTTTAAAGAATTATTTCATTGGTGACCAAAATGGTGATTCTTGACAGTTTGGTGAACTGGTGTTAGGCTGGATAGTGGACGTGTTCAGACCTGATCTTAAAAACAAGCTTTACTTTAAAACTGATGTCAACAGACCTTAAGCACTTAAACACCATCATGTCTTTGTGTGTAACGCTGGTTCCACATGTTTTGGAGATGGTGAACCAGGGAGGGGGGCAGGTTTTGCACAAGTACTGACGTATTTATTCATATTTCAGTTCTACTTAAGCCTCTATTTAACTAACTACTGGTACCAAAATCAACCCAAATTCTAAGTTCTGTAGTGATATGATGTGCTCTTTTTAGTCAGTTGTGGTCCAGTCCAAGGAAGGGTAACATGGTGTGTTGGTTTTGGCTGGGATAGAGTTAATTTTCTTCGTAGTAGCTAGTATGGGGCTATGTTTTGGACTTGTGCTGAAAACAGTATTGATAATATAGAGATGGTTTTGCTACTGCTGAGCAGTGCTCACACAGAGCCAAGGCCTTTTCTGCTCCTCACCCCACCCCACCAGCGAGGAGGCTGGGGGTGCACAAGGAGTTGGGAGGGGACACAGCTGGGACAGCTGAACTGAACTGAACAAAGGGATATTCCATACCATATGACATCATGCTCAGCATATAAAGCTGGGGGAAGAAGGAGGAAAAGGGTGACATTCGGAGTGATGGCATTTGTCTTCCCAAGTCACTATCACGCATAATGAAGCTCTGCTGTCCTGGGGATGGCTGAACACCTGCCTGCCAATGGGCAGTGGGGAATGAATTCCTTCTCTTGCTTTGCCTGTGTGCGTGGCTTTTGCTTTACTTATCAAACTGTCTTTATCTCAACCCATGAGTTTTCTCACTTTTAGCCTTCTGATTCTCTCCCCCATCCAGCTGGGCAAGAGTGGTTGAGCCGCTGCGTGGGGCTCAGCTGCCAGCTGGGGTTAAACCACTACACAGTGGTAAAAAGAGACCTCCACTGAAAGTTCTTATACATAAGTGATGAATTTTGCTGCCCATATTTCCATTTCCACTCAACAGCTTGTCATCTCCATGTGTAACATGTACTGCTTCTTTCAACCATGCTGATACTGTGATCCAACACAATAGAAGGGAATCTACAATAATTATTTAATGTATATGGGGTACACTAGGCTTTTAAGAAGTAAATTATGTGAAGCCTGGACAGATTAAAACTAAGACAATAGTTTTCTATAAAGTGGGCACAAGAGGCAGACACAAGGGTCTGAAAACAATGAATAGTGAAGACGAGACCTGTAAAATTTTATTTCTCATTTGATGCCAAGTTAAATTAAGAATGCAATGAGCCAAAATCTGGTGTAATTTTTGCTGGTGTGAAATCAGAGAAATTAACTGATTTATGCAGTTATTCTAAACTGACAGCAACAGATCCAAGATCAGAAAATAGTCAAATATATGTAAAAAGATTTTTCTTTTCTACAGAACAGGTCATGAATCTGTGAGTTAGCTGTCACATGCCATGACCCAGGCAAAGAGCTTAACAGGATTTAGAAAAGGATTAGTCATGCATATGAATAATAAAGTCTTTCCCATATATATTAAGGATGATAAAAGTGCTGCTGAACTCTGTCATCCAGGGACACAAGTCATGGGACATCCCAGTCTTGCAAAACCTAGGTAACTCCACATGTGGTGGGGAGCACAATGTGAAGACACTCAACCTTCAAAGTTATTTAGGCGTCTCTGCACTCCCTGAGGTCTACAGTACTAATTACTGTAACTCCTATTATCCAGCACTTGAGCTCGGCACCACTTCAGAAACACACGTCCAAGGCACATGAGCTGCACAGCGTGGAGTTATTAACATCTGGCCAAGCTGCTTGTCATGCAACAGAGGTTCTACCTCTGGTTTTGAACTGCCCCTTAAAATCGTGACCACGTTCACAGGACACCGCTCCTGGGCTAATGCCCACAGAAGGACAAATCCACAACTTGAGTAACCAGGGATGTCCTGAATAAGGACATCAAATTTCGTCAGTAAGTCAATGATTATTGCCATTAAAACAGGCAAAAAAACAAATGGTGCTGTGGTGATTACCGAAACACGAAATCTGCACTGTCAATCTCCTGGCCACATCTGCTGTTCTTCAGAATTCCTCCGTTTCCAACCACCGCACATTTCTTAAACTGGGAGCGGTGGTACGGCATATCCTGCAACATCACAGCAAGGAAACAGTTAAATATCCCGAAACATGGAGGCAACAAGTCTCTTTTTCATTTTTTTCCTTTTTTTGTGCACCTGCATCTTGTTGCAGATGCACTAATCATAGGAAGTTGACACTGATCCTGGCCTGCAATATTCCTATGGTGTACATAAACAGATGAGATGATTGTTTTCTGTGCAAATGGAGATGCTATGGACAACTAACTCAGAGAGAAAAAAAGTAATAACCCGGTTTTGTCCAGACTTAATAATTGAAGAAGTAATTTTAGAAGCTTGCTTTCCCTTCTGATTTCCAAATGAGGGCATGAACCATAAAATTAGTGTAAACTGCTCGTTCCTCGGGCTCTGATGTCCTGCTTTTGAGAAGTGTGTACGCATAGTCCCAGAGCAGCTAGTAAACCTCAGGAAATCTCTCTAAATCAGACAGCACATTAAAGCTATTTATCAGAAGCTAACCCAAATTTTAGTGCTTGCTACCACTGATTATACTAATAGCATTAATGATTATTAATTAGCACTTGTACTACCAGCAGTGCCTAGAGCCTTTGGTCAGGCACCTTTTTGGACTCATGTGGGACACATCTTTTGGCAATCTTCTGGCGAAATCCTGTCTTCATATGCAGGCTTGCAGCTGCTGCCAAAGCCAGAGAGAGTGAAAATCACATCTCTGAGAACAGAACTGGGCCGTTAGGGTGAGAGGGCTGTGACGCATAACTGAGTTGCGCTACACCTTATAAATATGTAGAGATGTGCTTATATAAGCATGAGAGTGCTCATTTTGGTACATACATATTTTATCAATAATTTCATAGCACAAACTACAGAGAGATAGAATAGTGGCATGACATTTCTAGGTGATTATTGCCAGGATCTTTCCATAGGATTCCTAAACCATGAAGCAAAAGGGCATGCAATCACACCTGATTGAGAAAAGCAGCAGCTGCCTAACAGAGAGGCATTATAGAGTTGTCTGTTCTTTATTGAGCGATTTCTCAACACAAATGCCTTGCCAGTCCCTTTCAGTGAGATCAGAACCCAGGTCTCTGCACTCAGCACAACGCTCTTGCCCCTAGAGTCTTGCTCCCATGCTTTCAGCCCTTTAAGTCCTACATTGGCCATGCTGCAGCCCTGCTCCTAGGCAGAAGGTGGCTTTGACCACATAGGTGCTGCCCAGTGAACCCCAAAGGCACTTTGGCATGAGATAGAGCCTGCAAAGCATCCTCCAGGCATACCTGTATAAATACAGCACCAGCTACAAGACACTCCTAGTAAAAGTGTCTAGTCTTTCATGCATTCATCCGCACAATCAGGCATGTGTTTGAGGATTATACTGCTAGACTTAGATGTACCCTTTCTTTGCATGTCTCCAGATGCCAAAGTGCTTTCCTGGATGTGAGCATTTCCCCTGTTCTGCCCCAGTTGCCCATGTGCACATTTAGATAACAGCACTACCCTACCTCTTAGTGGTGCTCTGAAAGCAAACGGATTAGAAGTGGTTAGACCCCGAAGGACAATGTTAATGACATAAATCTAAGTATTTGAATATTTTTCTGACTTTCTGAAAGGGATGAATTTCAGTTATTCCCTCCAAATATGCCATTCGTAGATTCCCAATTAATGAGGTGTTCCAGATGATAAATCAGTAGTCACTTAAGCCCATTTCTGCACATCAGTCACTATGTGCAATGGGAATTGCCCACTGGTTATAAACTTGAATGACCCTCAGTTCAAGGATTATTTGCTGAAAAGGTTTTGAATAATCATTATGATTAAACTATTTAAAAATTGTGCAGCCTGTTCACAGATAAGCTGCAAACAGAAATAAGCATAAAAACAGTTAGTCATTGTGTATATGAATTATAAAATAATCATGCCCCTAAAAAGCAGATCTACCCCAAATGTTGGATTTATTGTATGTGAGTATTGTACTTTTTAAAAGTTCTGATCAGTAAGTGTCCCTTTTATTCAGCTTTCTTAAGTTATTTCATTAGCCGCTTTGCTGCTAGGTCAGTAATATTCTGCGGGAATATATATATACATACATTGCATACTAGAGCAGATGACCACTAGAAAATAGGATAATCAGCTAAAATATCATATCAAAAATAAACATTTTCAAAGTATACGCAATGAAGTTTGTAGAAATGTCAAACAGCCAGCTACTAAATGCTTGGCTACAGGATAGCATCTAATGCAGCAAGTAGAGTGAAGTTGATTCTGCAAATGGACAGAGGCATGAGGCACCTTTGGAAACATTTTGAAGATTTCTTGGTTGATATGGAAGATTCCACTAGTATCCACTTCATATTTCAGTTTAGTTCCCAAAGGAGTATTTTTCTGGGTGGTGAACAGAAAGGCAGGGGCATTGCAACACCTCGACAAAGTTGACCTGTAAAATGAAAAAGAGAGAAATAAGATCAAGGAGCTGATAGCTTGCTTTAGGATTTGCAATTAATATTACTCCTAACAAGGCATTTTTCAGTAAAAAGAAACTTTTTAGCTGTAGGAGGGGTAAAATGGTGGTTTGCTGGATTTTTCTTTAGAAAATTTCAGATTCAGTGAAATTTTCCATGATTGAGTAATGTATGGTTAAAAAAAAAAAAAAATAAAATAAAACCAGAAGAAATGAGATCTCTGTACCTATCTCTTCTAGGCTGCAGGACATACGTGTGCAAATTCTGCCCTGCTCCAGAGCCCAAAGCTGAGCTTCTGCCCCCAATACCCTGGGGAAATTATCCCAATGAATTAGTCCCTCTCTGCTTTAGAGGTCTTCCACTTTTGTAAATTATTTACTCATCATTGGGCAGGAAATGCAGGCGCTAAAGTATTCACCTGCGGATGAAGAAGCTTGGCAGGGCAGGTACTTAAATACAGAGATACCTAAAGACAGACCTACCCCATTTATTACCAGACTACTGTGGAGCACAGGACACTTTGATTACACAAAAAATTTAAAGGTCTTAGTTTTGCCTTTGACCTTGCATATTTGTGTCAGGAAGATGATGTGGCCTCAACAGACGGGTGCCAGGCAGATTGGTCATGACTACAACTCCAAAATCTCAGACAAATGGCCAAAATTTTCTTTGTCACTGGGACAATATGGCAGGTATTCCAACGTAAACAAGAATTGTTTTGAAATCTCGAAAATGGGATTCTTAGCATGAGAGAAAACACATGCAGCTCTGATATGAAATTTAAATAGGAAATAGAGGTCCATTCCTTAGCTCCCGTATTTCTCTGAATGCTTTTGTCCTTTTACTGGTGGATCTGAAAGCCCTGACTTCAGCTTACTCTTACTCCAGATCCAGTTTGTTTCTCAGTCAATGCATCTTATACTTTCAATGAAAAAATACATGTCATGGCAAATGCACAAACATGAAGACAAAGCCAAATGGCTCTCAGATAACCTAGATTAAATACCTTGCCTCCGGGGTATGTGACCTTATTATGAGTTGGAAGAATAAGCCAGTCTTCTTTATGGGTTTTATTACAAGTACCAGAAAGCAAATACAGAATTATGCAAACATTTTAGTGATGTCCAATTACTATTATGTGAGTCATGCAGAATGACACGATATGATGATCAGATCAAGGCAGTAATTGAAACTAAGTCAATGAATAATTTCTAATAATGAAATTGTTAAATAATTACAAGCAGGTAGTGGGATTGAATTGTGATATTTGAGATACGAAAAAAACTCTGCATTAGTTCTGCATTAAGGAATTGAAAGAGATGTTGTTCTTTAACCTAATGTCCAACTGGTTTTCCAGAGGCAGGTTCCTTAATACAAATGTCTGATATCTGATGGAAAAAGACTGTTGAGGAAACAGCTTTCTTTAGTCTCCTTATAAAAGCTAGTGTGATTTTTGTGCTTCCTCCCTCCCTGCTGTTCAAGCAGCTGCCACTTTTGCTGGATTCTCCCCATCTCACCTGATGGCCCAGAACTGGCAAAGTTCAAAAGCCCACAACTCAGTGTTGTCAGACCACCTCCTTTTAACTTCCTACTAGTCTACCTCCAAACTCAGAGACTTTGATCTGCTTTTCAGGAACTACAGTTTCCCCACACATTCACACACTAAACTCTCTGTCCCATAAGACAAAAATGAAACTGACTTTGAACATTTTTTTTGTCATTTATAGTACGAATATTGTTCCTGGAACCAGCTAACAAGGGTTAGGATACATCTAGGTGCCAGTGGGAGTTTCTCAGGCAGTGTTATATCAGGCAGGCAGGTATAACCAGCAACAGGAGTCTTTCACCTCTTCTTTCTCTCAATGCACTGCCTAGGATGGAGAGGAGTTCTTTGTTTAATGTGCTGGTATTGGTGGCCTGAGAGAGTGATGGTCCTCCTGATGGCCTTTAGATAGTCCTTTCTCACCACTCCCACTTCTGGGCTGGCCTCCATACTTCAGAGTGCTCTTTGCACTCTGAGCACAATCACCAGTTCTCTTGCTCCAAGCCATCTTTAAGATAGTAGGCTCTAATCCTGCATGGCTCTTGTCTTCAAAATGGGCTCTGATAAATGTCCATCCAGTAATTTCCAGAAAAAATATACTAAAAAACCACTAAAAAACTTGTGTGTGGAGCTCACTTTGGAAAAACTGTAATGGTCCTGGGACTAAGAGTTAGTTATTTTTAAAGATGTTAATGGCCAACTCAGCACATGCATTCTCACATTCTCTCATTAACCCATATTTCCTGGAATCATGCAAGAGAATTTGGGAGAAAGTCATGGGGCCTTATTTTAAACAACTCTGAATCATGCCAGTGGCTTACAGACTTAAGTAGTCTATATTCCACTTACTTTGAAATAATGTGCTTTTTCTAGACTTACTCAAACATGGCCTTTGTTGATGATATTCAAATATTGTTTTGGTTTCATTCGGCTATTACCTTCACAAGACCAATTTCAAAGGTTGTATCTTGAAAGGACCATGGAGGACCTTCAGCAAAGAGAAAGTCACATGAAGGAAGACAGAATACTACAGAAACAAACTGCAGAGGTCTCCAGAAAAAATATCTAGATAGTCAGGAAGCAATAGCTGAGAAGCCATTAAAAAAAAGGAAGTCATAAACAAGGTCTGACAGTACCTAATACACCACAGAAAAAATCCAGTTTCAGTATTTTGTAGGCCAATTTTGCAGTGTCACCAGTGATATTACCATTGTACATGACCAGAGAGTTAGGATGATGTATTACGTGCAGCCATTAAGTCTTGGCTTTATCCTTACTTCTGCCTGAATCATACCTAGAAGTCTTTCCTATACGAAATTCCCTCCTTTCCTGGGAAAACTGTCCCACACGCCAGAAAATCTCTCTTTCACTCTTGCTGTCGATTTTTTTAAAGTAGGAAAAAAGTCCATGTTTATTCAAAAGGATGGTACTCCAACAGTAACAGTGTTAAAATGCTTATTCTTGCTATCCATATGAAGGTTTGATCTCTCTACAGGAAGCTAAACTCAAACTAAAGTAAATCTTACTCAGTCTTATTAATGTGGACCATTCTTACTTGAATAAATTAGCTTCTGTGACATTCATCTCCCATTTGCACATCTGTAGGCTCTTCCATCTGTCAAACAATTCAGTTTGTTTCACCCTAGAAGATAAAAAGAAAGAAAATAAAAATTTACTTTATTATAAGGGCTTCATTTCCTAAAACAGCTGCAGCCAGTGTACCATACAGTAAGCTTTTGGCAAAGTCTATCCAGTGCAAAATTTATCATTTTTATTTCATTTTCTGCTCAGACATAGCAACTCTAAGCCATGTACACACAGGTACTGATGGAGCTCTTCAGATGTTTGGGACTGATTTCTATTCTCTGACAGGCATTCTCCATTTCTTCAGAATAAAAAATGCAATATCGAGCAAGAAGCATCTACTGCACCAAAGTCTGTTTACAGTTTGCTGGGAAGCTAATGAGTGTCTGGCAGCTACAGCGGCTTTGGGGAGGAAAGTTGCACCTAACAGAAGGGCCCAGCAGAGGGGTACTGGAAGAGAGGATACTTGAGTTAATTTGGCCAACTACCACTATATTTTGGTGAGGTTATTTTAATCCATGAGATCCTACAGAACAGCACTGTTGGTAAATCCATTTATAAACTGCGATAGCATATGTATAGCAATAAGCATTTGTGATGGCAAGGGGACACGAAAAGCTCTTTACATAAGGATCTCTCCTTCTCCCTCTGTTAATAAATATACTTTTAGTTATATCAAAAAAAGGCACTCCTATTTCTATTAAGCTGATACAGGATGGCATGTGTTTGGTGATATCATCAATTCCAACCACTTCTACCTTAGAGTTCATACATATACTTCTGTATTTGGACAACAGAGATAACAAAGGTCTTGCAAATGTCTAGAGCTAGGGAGCAATGTCATAATCTGGCTGGGAAATTTTGAAGTCTGAGATTTCTTCAAGACCGATAGGTCTTAATGAGTTCTCTTTAGGCTTGAGGGCTTTGAATGTTGGGATAAAGCAAAGACTTTGAAGATAATTATATATTTAAAGTGAGTAGAACTTAGGATTTCCCAGGCTGTGGAAGTTACAGGAAGGAATTAGGTCATATTGTACTTTCTGTAGCCCACTAGAGCACATCATTAACTTGGAAATCTTCCATTACCGTAAGTGCTGACTTAGGAAATGTAGCACGTTAGAAGCAAGCACATCAGAAGAACCCAGCAGAGTGAAAGAGTTTGATGTCAAATGTCATCTGTTGTAAAAGTAAGGCTAACTCTATCCAGCTGAGCAGGAGTCCGCTACCTTCTATGTGCCATCGGCTAAGATGAAGAGAAATGAGTAATTCTCTATACCATCTGATAAGTATTCAGAAAAGCAATTCAAAACTCCCCATCTTCAGCAGAACATTGGCAGAAGTGTCACATTCTCAACCCTTCTTTTTATTTTTAAGCACTGCAAGTCAGCAAGCAGCATAAAGTTGTTACTCGTGTATCCTTCATCCAGTACCAAATACAGAAGACAAGGACATAACCTACATTCTTCTGTGTACAAAGTCAGCAAGGGAGACATGCTCAAAATTCATGTAGACCTGGAGCAAAAAATTTTATTTGCTGTAGCCTTGTTTGCTTAATGTTATGCGCTTGTATAGCTGGACTTTCAATTGAGGTTCTCAGTACACTTTACAGACCTTGATAAGCCTTGTGGATTGTCGGTAAGATGTAAAACCACTGTCGGTAAGATGTAAAACCCATGTAAAACCAGTGGGTTTAGACATGGTAAGGGATTAGGCATAACCTAATCACCTAAATTCAGTGCAACGTTGAAAATGCAAAAGGTAACCACAAAAATACCCTGCTTTGCTCTGTCCAATGAGATCCGTCGGCAACCTCACTTTTTTGCCTGATTCTCTGTCTATGGCTTCATGGATACATCTCATTCAACTCATTAGTTTTCTGATATACATACAGTATCAAAAAGACAAAATATAGATATCTTATTATTTTTTAGAATTGCATTTTCCTAGTTTTTAGTGTTACTAACTTGTGAAACTCACTGCTGCAGGAAATTGCTGGAGGTCAAAAGTACAAATGGGCTCAGAAAAGATCTGAACAAACTAACAGAGAGGTCTATTGTCCACTCTGACTACTCTAGTCGAGTCACCACCCACCACTCAGCAAGTTCCCATGCCAGTATTTGTCATCAGGGCTAATATTTTTGCTTCATTTCTTAGCCTTCAATGCTGGCCACTGTCAATGATAGAGCATTAGGCTAGATGGACACTTGCTATAAGTCAGGACCTGGAATATTATATTACCAATAATACTACACTGTATTTCATTTTAAACAGTGATACTGCGCCTGACCAAAATGCCTAAATATATGTGAAATGCCTCCAGTTTTTTTCAAATGGACCTCAGATCAAATTCAAATGTGACTACGTGAACATATAAAAGAACCTCAGGAATCCCTGATGAGATTCCTATTGATGGGACCTCTTAAGCCTTGCATGTTTTACAATGTTTTTAAGTTACCATTTTCACCCTGCCTGAAAAATAACCTTTTAGCAAACATTCATTCATACTTACATAGACAAAACCTTCACCTCAATGATGTCCTGCCGTAATTCCAGGCATTTGGTAGAATTGTATTCCAAAGGCCCTTCATAAAACTCAAAATACCTGAAGGAGGAAAAGAAAAAAGATTATAAATAAGCCTTAGAGTGGAATACTTGTCTTATACATCAACATAAATTTGCTTAAAGGTGTCATTTATGATTTCTGCCTAACTTGAAACTACAGTATCGGGCCCACAGGCAGGTTATTTCTTCACAGGAAAACACATTGCTGATTGTAGAACAGCTGCCCATGTCCAGTTTGTTCATCTCTACAAGAGTTCATCTATCTTGTAGTCACCAACAAGGACCAGCTACCTTTTCCAGCAGTCAGCACATGGCAGCTGCCACTGAAAGTCAGGGGGAAAGCACTGGTCACTTACAGAACCCTGTTCCCATCCTTTGGGTGTCTGAATGTGCTGAGAGTTTAAAAACCAGTTCCTTAAGTTTTGCTCTTAGGTGGAAAGCAAAGTGCTGGAGGTTGTATCTTGTCTGTGGAGACTGTTGCATACCTCTATGCAATTGAGCTTTTCATTGGGATTTACTCTTTTGGTGTATTTGGAGGGGAAGGGAAGCTGTGATTTTCTTCTCAAAAAAATTGAGATGGTTTTGAGAACAAAAGGATTTGAATGCTCAGACACAGAACAAATGACAGTGCTATTCTTAATTAAAAAGAGAGACATAAATATTTACTTTTTGGGTTAAATTCCTCCACCTTAGCCATCAGACTGGAGTGAAGGGAAAACAAAACACAATGGTAGCTACTCAGAGAAAGCCCAGGCTGTCCAGTGAATTCAATGAGACTGTACTAAAATGATAAAAAAGATTTAAGGTTTAAACCAAGCTCTGTATCAGTTTCACTACTTATCATTAGAAGTCTGTATTAAAACCTAAGAACTGCACATACCCATACAGCAGTTATGAGCATAATGAAGAAATACGAGGAGACGACCTGGAGGAATAGGTATTATGACCAAGGCTAGAGCAAGTTGTTCTGATGGATCCTTTAAAATCTCGGAATTCATGAGGCTGTAGCTCCAAACTATCTTTTGAATTTTCAATATGAAAGAAAAATACAAGATTCCTGGAAAAGCTTTATTTAAACTATCATTGGAAATGTAATATTTTGGGTTTGTGTAATTTTAAAATAACATCAAAATTCATGTTTGGCCTGAATGTCTATTGTGTTACACACAACTCCTACCTCTTTGGGTGCAAGGGTGATAGCAATGGCTATCAGCCTCATCCTCACCTTTCACCTAACTGGATTTCACAGATTCACAAATTGGTAGGGGTTGCAAGGGACCTCTAGAGATCATCTAGTCCAACCCCCTGCTAGAGCAGGATCACTTAGACCTTGTATGTGTCTTGGGACAGATAAAAATGGCAAAAATCTAGATTAACATGTATTTTTATCTTTCCTGAGCATTTCTGGCTCTGCTGCTAAGTGAGAGAACCACAGCTCAGATGTCATACAGCACATGCTATCATGTGGGAATGCCGCAGCTGGCTTCAGCCCATGGCACTGGAGACAAAGATGTCATTTTATGAAACAGAGATGAAATTTCCTGTGTCCCAGAGACTCCCTTTGATCATTGCCTGTTTACTCACTCCACAAACCAAAAACAGAAATTAAAAAGGATATGTTACCAAAGAGGCAGAAGGGTAAGGAAGAAAGGATTAGGTAAAAAATAAAGCAGTTCTGGATCTGAAAAGAAATGCATGAGGCAGAATTGCATTTGTAGCAGAGTTATTCCATTAGCCCACAGATTCAAAAAGCACAGGACTGTCCTGCAAGCCTCTAACTCTCACAATAGCTCCAGCTTTTCCAGCAGAGTCACTGGGAGTGGCAAAATCACCATTTGGCACCTTGTGGAAGTGCAAAGGGACAATCCGTGAAACAGCAAAGGCAGGCTACACTGACAATGGTGTCACTTCTGCACCAAATATGGAGAAGATTCTATGGGCCATAGGATGAGCTTGATTGAAATTAACTCGATGCTAAGCCTCCTTAGTGTTAATGCTACTGATGCTGTAGCACTTGCATCTTGTTGCAAGCATTAATGATGCTACACAGCATTAAGGAATTTGCAAGACAGTATGTAGTCAATAGACCAAAAAAACCCCATTTTTCTTCTCTTTCTCCCAGGAGTATTCATGCTATTTACTTGCTTCACAGTAATTCCCCTCCTGCTACAGACACCGAGGCAAATTAGCAGAGGCAGCTCCCTGGAGCACCAGCTAACCTCTTCCTCAGAAGTGTTTCACGCTGTACTTTCCCAGGATACAGCTTTTGTGCAACACCAGGCTCTAGCACAAGGAATATGGGTTCCCTCAATGCCTGTGGATGTCCTTTAAACACAGCTCCTCTGCTCAGCAGGGTCTGCTCCTGCTGGGAGTGTTTGAAGACCAGCCCCCTGCACTCTCGCAGAGGAAGCATCAGTCTCACCCACTCCCTGGGCTCCAAGTGCTGCTTCTGCCTATTAACTCCCACTCTAAACCATGTAGTTCCCTGTGAACAAAGATATATCTGGCTGTCAGAAAGCTTAATTAGCACAAATGGAAACTGTCCTCCCTATCATCTTCCTTAGTCTGATATCCAGCTAAGAAGCAAGGGTGTAGTGCAGTTTATTTTGATTTATGCTCTTGATTACTGATAAGTGACAAACCTGACTACGCTACTCCTTTTGCTACGGAAAAGCGTTATGTTTCAGCTTTACAAGAATGACAGTCATGTTTTATATCCATAAAACACAGGTGATGTGTCACCGCCAGAATGTCCTGTCTCTGCACTGCTTCCGCTTCCCCTCCTGAAATCTAAATAACCTACCCCTCAAAGGTCACAAGTCTACAGGAAAACCAACACAATAATTCATGATTCTTTACAACAGGGAACACGACTACAACTGAATCACAACAAACTGCACAGTTGCATGCAGGATTGTGTTTTCACAGGGTATTGGGTACTACACACGACTCACTGCTCTATGTCCATTCAGGTCAATTGTAGCTTTCGAACCTACAACATTTTTCCAGGATGTTCCAAATCTGGTATCTGAACACCACGCAAGCTGCAAATGCTCAGGGAAGACTCTTGTTTCATGTATCTCAGTACAGAATGCCCAGAAACGAGATGCTATTCACTCTGTAATTTCCCATTTTTGACTGAGACTTCCTTCTTTCTAACCTTCATGTCTCCCATTGCAACCTCACTTCCAGCTGAGCAGCTTACTGAGCTCACTAGTGAGAGATTTGGTTTCCCAGTACACCAACTGACTCTTAGGTCTTTGATCATCTGCAGTTGGGCAGATGCAGCTGCTGCTGCTTTGATCAAAAGTAAGTTTTCCTTGAAAATGCTACATGAATTAAAAAGCCTGGGACTTCAATCCTGCCTTCAAGTGACATTTGGATCGAGGAACTGATTTGTCTGATATATTGAACAAAGGTTTTAAAATATGGATGCAATTGTGTTTTGGGTTTGCATGGCAAGGTTTTGGTAAGGGGGGTTACAGGGTGGTTTCTGCAAGAAGTTGCTAGAAGCTTCCCCTAGTTCCAACACAGTCAATGCCAGCCAATTCCAAGACGGACTTGCTGCTGGCCAAGGCCAGCGACAGTGGTAGTATTTCTGTGATAATGTATTTAAGAAGGAAAAAAAAAGGAGCAGCAGCTTTTGCAGCCAGAGAGAGGAGTGAGAAGATGTGAGAAACAACTCTGCAGACACCCAGGTCAGTGCAGAGGGAGGGGCAGGAGGTGCTGGAGCAGAGATCCCCCTGCAGCCCGTGGTGAAGACCATGGTGAATCAGGCTGTCCCCCTGCAGCCCATGGAGGAAGGATGAGGGGGTGTAGAGATTCCACCTGCAGCCCATGGAGGACCCCACACTGGAGCAGGTAGAGGCACCTGAAGGAGGCTGTGACCCCGTGGGAAGCCCACGCTGGAGCAGGCTCCTGGCAGGACCTGTGGCCCCATGGAGAGAGGAGCCCAGGCCAGAG